ATTTTTAAAGGCACATTTGGTACAGAATTGGGAGACCCAGACCCGCAGCTCACTCCCGAGAAAGAACCCCTGCAGTAATCCTAAGGCACTTGCTTAGAGAAGCGCGGCTGCTCGCTGCCTTCCGACCTTTGCCGCGGTGGTTCCCGCGGCTGCTTTTTACCGCCTTTCCCCTCCTTCACAGATTCTCTCGGGAAAAGCGACACCCGGCTGTTCCCCCTAAGCGTCGTCTTACGTCCCCCCCCCCACGACACCGAGGACAGACCCTCCCTCCGCTGCCCCCCCGCCTGCCCGCCCGCCTGCCTGGTCCAAGCGAGGCTCCGCCCCCGCTCCTCTGCCACAGCGCCGCTCGCGAGGCGAAATGCGAGGGGGAGGAGGCAGCGGCAACCAACAGCGGCCCCCAGCGCGGCGGCAGAAGAAAGGAAGGAGGCGGAGGCGGAGGCGGCGGCATCCGCAGCGGCCGCCGCCGCATCTCCATCTCTCGACGTCCTCTTTCCTCGGTCCCTCATGACGGTGTGGTGCTGCCGCTGCTCCTTAACCAGCCGCTTCAGGTAAGCGCCTCGAGCCTCAGCCGGCTAGCAAGCGTGGCGCCGGGTACGTGCCGGCTTCCGACTCTCCCTCCTGGGGAACCCGCAACCGAGGGCCGTCCAGGATCCGGCGTCAGGAAACCCGGCGATAAGCACTTGCTGCCGCCGAGGCATGTGAAGGCGAGGCGCCCCGGAGCATCCCGACGGAGGCCTGGCGCGCACGAGGTCGCGGGGATGGGGGAGGTAATGGCCGGCCGAGGCGGAGAAGCGCCGGCCCCGGTTGCACGCGCTCGGAAACGCCGCCTTGCCGAAGAGCGGAAACGTGCCTCGTTTGATGTTTCTGTGAGTGTGTGATTGGGTGTGTGTGTGATTGGGTGTGTGTGTTGTCTTATCGATTGAAAACGTGCAAGGCAAATTGTATTTCATTTTGTCACTTCCCCCTTTTCGGCATGCCTATATATGTGTGTAGCGTATACATTTCAAAATGTATGCCTCGAAGTTATTGGTTCGAATGCCTTTTTTTTAAAAAAAAATGCCATTTCTATAATAGCTGCTCCTCAAATGGGGGGGGGAAGAACAGGTCCAGAGTCCATTAATGAACTCGCACCCCCTCCCTCCTCTTTGTTTGTGGATCCAGGCAAGGTGTGTTATTTATTTGAAAGACCCAAAGAATCCTGTTAAGGAAGGATTGCGTTTATAGTGTTTAGATGTACAGTTTCGTATTCGCTACTTAATTTTTTAAATGATCTTGTTTCAAGATTAAAATCTCAACACTCTGTCACCCCTACTGTTCATATATTTCTTGGGGGGAAAATAACATATATGCATGTGGCTAAAATACTATATTTACAAATCAGCATGAACGAATGAAGTATTTACAGTGAAGGTTGTTTTATAATGATTTGTTTTGTTTCCTTTTAAATAGAAATTACGGTAATCCAGAAGCTGAAGGATGCTTTTTGAATTCCTTAGTGCAGTATTTTGGTGACAATCTTGGAACCAACGCTAAAACCATGCCATTACTACAAGAAAGTACGCTACCTGTGGACACAACATTGACTTTGCCTATAGTAATAATCGGTGAGTTATTCTCAAATAGGTTTCATGCTTAGCTAATAATGGATTTCTATTATTAAATGATATAGAAAACACTGTTGACTTCATCAATTTGACTTACGTGTATCCTTGTTAACTCATAAACCTTATCTGACGTAAAGTTATCAGATGGTATTGAAAAATATTTTGCAGCTGAAATAATTTTTTGCCAGCATATATATTTTGTCTACGAAGTCTGGCTTTGGGGTCTAACTAAATGTATAATACTGCACATAGTTCTGGCCATCCTAAAACAAAAAAGATGCTGAGGTCCTAGAAAGAATGCAGAGAAGGGCAACAAAGCTGATAAAGGATCTGAAAGCTAAATCTTATGGTAAACAATTGAGAGAACTTTCAAAGAAAAAGATTAGGGGGAATATGATGATTATCTTCTAGTACTTGAGTGGCTGTCACAGAGAAGAGGGGATTGACTTCTTTTCCAAAGCTCCAGAGGCCAGGACAAGAAGTAATGGATGGAAGTTTGTTAAAGAGAGACCCAACCTAGAACTCAAATGTGTTTTTTCGAAGACAAGAACTGTTGAAGAACTGAAGAAGCTTTTTGAATGAGAAACAAAAGGAAAAACAAAGAAAGTCCAGTTGCCTTTGAAAAAACATCTTTGGGACAATCGTGTTCTAGATGACTGAGAATCTCTATAGATATTCAACCTAGAAGAAAGGCGAAATTTTCTGATAATGAGAACAATTAATCAATGGAATAGCTTGCCTCCCAGAGTTGTGGCTTCATCATTGGAGGTTTTAAAAAATAGACACAACTACCATTTAACTGGGATGGCATAAATTTTTCTACCTTGAGCAGGGGATTGGACTATAAGACCTCCAGCCCTATAATTCTATGTTCTACCCCTTAGCACCATTACTTTCGAATTGTATCGGTAAGATTGTAAGACTATGGATAGCATTGATATGTTAATACTTTTTTTTAACATCTACAAAGATTCCAAAGCAGATTTTAAGAATTAACAACAAAGACATTTTTATATATGTAATTGAACTAGGTCAATTCCTTTTTTAGATTTTAAAATCTGCTTTATAGTGCAGAATTTGGAATGGAATGTCTGGAGATTCTCAGTCATCCAGGTCATGGTTGTCCCAAAGGTACTTTTTCAGGACACAACTGGACTTGTTTTTCTTTGAAGATGTTCGCCTTTCATCCAAGAAGCTTCTTCAACTGGATGGTGAGGAATGGAAGGATTTATATTCCTTGCAGACAGATGGTCATTTGCATTCTTTTAGAGAGTCGTTGAGGCCATTTGGAGGTTTACCTGTGTCCTCAGGTTCACCTGAGGAGTGCAAATATGTGTGGAGCCTTCTTGGATGCAGGATGTTTTCTGCCCTGGGTCCCTTCACTGTTGAAGACAGGTGCAGGCTGTTGGGGATGAGTCTCTGTTGTCTTGCATCTCAAACTGAAGTGTAAATGGTTCCTGTAGTCTGCAATATTTTCTGGAAATCCATTCATACTCCCATACCATTCAAAGGGTGTTCATCCCAAAGTGCATAGCTAAATGTCTATGGAGATTCTCAGTCATCCAGGTGATGGTTTTCCCAAAGGTCCTTTTTCAGGAGGCAACTGGACTTTGTTTTTCTTTGAAAATGTTTCGCTTCTCATCCAAGAAGCTTCTTCTTTATTCAACACTTCTTCATTTCAGATCATCCCTCCATATCAACTTTCTGCCCTGCTGGCTTTAGATAAAAGTAGTACTCATTTAATGACCACAGTTGGAGTCAGTTATTTCTAATTGACACAGTTGCTAAGGGGAAAATCACATGACTGTGACTATGTTTACAATTTACTTCCACTTCCTTTCCCCCCCATTCCCCTGCCCTTTGGAATATTCACCTCAGCTTTGGGATAATTAACAAAAAGGGAATTAATGTTTGTATTTACATTCAGGGCTTTTTTTCTCATAGAACGCCCAGAACGGAGTTCCTGCACCTTTTTTGGGTGGAACCTTGTAGGGTAGGCAAGGCGGGTTGTATGACGTGTATGAATTCTGGCACCTTTTTTTTTTTTTTTTTTTAGAAAAAAAGCACTGTTTACATTCAGGAGGAAGGTATTACAAGGGAATAAGTAGGCACACAATGAAGAATACACAAAGGGGTGTACTAGTACCAACTTTGTGCCTCCTTGGTCTCTTGTAATCTCTTCCTCTCCAATCTCTCCATTCTGCGAGGAGAGGAGAAAAAGGGTCAGGCATAGAAGGGATTGCCTGAAGAGATTTCTTATTTGAACAATCTGTCCACTCTGAGAGGTGGAAAAAAATTAAAGAAATGGGTCAGACACAGGTCATGTACTGACTATAATGGTGAACAAATAACTTGAGAGACAGATAATGCAAAGCTCACAAATGTACACCTTGGTCACATAGTTATTTTTTTCAGCACTATCATAGCTTTGAACAGTTGCTGCATTGAGGTAGCAAGGTCAACCTATATATGCTTTATTAATTTCTGGTCAGTTGCTTACTTTTATATGCTTTAGGAAAGAATAGGCATTATTAACAGGTTACATAAACTCTTGAAATGTCTTAAACCTATTCCACTTTGTTCCATTTAGCTGTGGAAGTAGGTGAGGGGTGGAGGGGGAGGGATTAACTCTTTGGAATTTTGTACTCATTTTTAATTGCCTTCTTTCATGAATACTTCCAAGATCCTTCTTGCAAATGATGCTTAAGAAAATTCAGTATATCTCCATTAAAATGGAAGCAAAAGTTATTTGAATTGTCAATACTTTTCAGAATGTCAAATAATATTATTAATTGGTGAAATTAAGATTCTCATAAAACTTGATATCAAGTGGGACTTCTGGGGGAGGCAAGTGAATTGAAGACATCTCCATGAAAGTAGAACTGACAATTATGGCAAAGACCGAAGCACTGATAAGTAAACCGGTTCTTCAGAATCTCTCTGAATAAGGAGAAGACCGAAGATTGCCCCATGTGCTATTGATAGGTGTTTCTTGTGAGGAGATTAATGGTAGAGATCTCCTGTAGGCTTAAGCACGAAAAGACTAACAGATTAGCCATCTTGCTCGCAACCACAGTAGAGCTTTTTTTTAAAGGATACTAAATTCACAAGCCTCATTTTTTAATTTTGGAAATTGCTTATTAACCCATCTTAAAGAGACCTTCAGAATGACAAGTTTGAAATAATTTGAGATACCTCTTTGTAAAGTTAGTTCTTGATATTTAGTGGCTGTCAAAATCACGACAAATTTATCAGGGTGATAGTTTTGACCCAGATTCAAAGTTTCACACACACACATACCCCACAATCATGTAATTAAGCTTCAGGCGCTCAGCAGCTGGGCTGCATTGACGGCTGTTTGCAGTGTCCCCAGTGATGCGGCTATATGACGGCTTTGCAGAAAACCAGCATTTACTTCTATTTTCAGCAAAAATGCTCCTATAGTGAGCCATTGATTTCCTTGAGGCATTCACTTAATGACCATCGAAAAGTTGTAAAATTGGGTGGTTCACATAAATGACCCCGTTTTACAACTGTCATAACTTAGGACCTTTATGGGCAGGCTCCACTATGGTCATAAGTCAAGAAATACCTCTAAGGGATAAAGAGATATTGAATTTGCCTAGACTATATTCAGATAAAATTTGAATCCTGGTGACACAATGTAGTTTTCTTGGCAACAAGCTGGAAGCTGTGTTTCATTGACATCTCTGTTTTGTTTTAAATTTTCAATCTAGTTTACACTTCCTGTATTTAATTAAGCTGGTCTGCTCTTTCTTAGCTTTTCAAAATCAGCTAGGAAATGATTATTATTAATTAGTTCCAATTACATATTAATGATTTAATACAAAATAATAAAAATGATAGTTTGTTATAAAATAGCACTTCACTTACATATTTTCCTAATATCAATAGCAGTTTAAAAGTTATTAAAACAATGTCTAAAATATGAACGTTGAATATCAATCTAGCAATAAGTCTGAGTTTTTGAAAATTCCAGGTTTTTATCCAACTTTCTATGGAAGGAATTGTAAATGCAAAGCATTTACTTCTAAATCAGTAGGTTAAAATATTTAATTTTAATATAATATGGTCATTTCTTTTTTTATTTAATAAATAGCTACTTTTTCCCCCAAACAAACAGGTAATGGACCTTCTGGAATATGCCTCTCTTACATGTTATCTGGATATAGACCATATTTATCCCCCGACGCGGAACATCCAAATCTTATTTTGTACAATAAGTTAAAAGAAGCTATTCATCTTTCTATTGTTGATCAGGTACAGTATATGTTAATCTTATGCTTATTAATCAAAAAACATATATTTTACCTATGAAACATGCATTTAATTTTATGTCATAGTTAATTATATATTATATATCCAGACTTAAAAATATTGATTCCATTTGTATTGTAAGCTGCCAGTAGCTTTTATTGTTTCCTGCTATTGCAGTTAATATAAAGTGCACTTGAAATACAAGGTACCAGACATGTACTATGCAATAAATATATAAACATTTCCCAAAGATCAAACTCAGTTTTCAGTGTACTTCCATACTAGTATATCTATGGCTTTTGGAAACTTCCTAACTACTTATTTCCAAAAGATTATACATTTTAGGTATCATGACTAATGGCTATTAATAATCCTGTGATCTATTAATTTAATGTGAACTAAATAGTAGGGTTCAGCAAACTATTTTATGGTGTGTCATAGACATCACAATATTACGAAAATGGATATAAGCTTTTTCAAAAAAAAAAGCTGCCAAAAAGAAACTGTTCAATTATAATACATTAATAAGATATCCTCCATATTTAGCTAAATCTTGACTCTAATGCATTCCCAACACAAATTTGTCAATCCTATACCATGCTTTCTAGATATTCTGGGGTTATCTCCCCCCCCAAACTTCCAAGCTAATTAAAATCAAAGGACAAATCAATCTTGAATTCCCAGACAGGAAGTAAAGAAATAGTAGGTTCAAAGAATTTGTAAGAAGATTCATATAACTGATGTACAAGAGAAGCAAAATGTTTTTTCCACTAGACATGTTGTTCTGAGGAAAAGTTGAACAGCCATTTAAATCTTATCTTTTCAAATCAGGAATTAGAGTACTTGGCTGAAGGCCTGGAAGGACGCTCTTCAAATCCTGTTGCAGTTCTGTTTGACACTTTGCTTCATCCTGAAGCTGATTTTGGATTTAAGTACCCACCGATTCTTCAATGGAAATTTGAACCACATCAGTGCATTCCTCATATAGTGCTTGGCAAAGGACCACCTGGTGGTGCTTGGCATGTAAGAATAACTTTAACCTTTTTTAATCAGATATGTGCACTTACAATATAGGACTTCTGATTGGTTGTGACTTCTACAGCAAATGCCCATTTATATTTTTGGGAGCTCTATCATGCACAACATCCCATCGTCATCGTATTCATGTCGGAAGCACTGAGGCACTTCAGGGTTGAAAGGATTAACTGGTGACATCACTGTTGCCCAGGAGACATCCATTGGGGGCTCCTTTCATGTCCCCGTTAATGAGCCCACCAAAGTAGTAGCTGTTTATCTACTATGCTCTCAAACTGCTAGGTCAGCAGGAGCTGGAGTGAATGACAGGAGCTCATCCCGCCACATCGCAGCACTTAGGTCCCGAACACGGGCTTGCAGATTGTTCTAACCACGTGAGCCACTGTGTTCCCAGCATCTCATGAATAACCCAGTATTTTTAATGATCCATAAAAATAATATTAAATCTGATTGCTTAGCAGTTTGTTTAGCACATTTTCTGTCCTCATTTTCACAGGCTTAGAATATGGAAGATTATATTAATTTTTTATCCTAATCCTATTTTTTATAATTTGGATCAATTAGTTACTAGGCAACATTTAGCAAAACCTACTGTTAGATACTGAAGTCCCTATTTTATTACAAACAATAATTACTGGATAGTATCAGCTGAGGACATTCATAATAAGACTAAGAAAGTAGCAAAATGAATCCTACCAAAATGAAAACATGATGATGAAAGACAGAATATTATCTTATGTCAGGAGATGATTTTTTTTTTCTCTGATTACATTGTCGAATGTAGCTTGTAATGTGATGCTCTGGATTATTTAGTTTCCCTGTCAGCAATAGAGTTTGGAAGCTTAAACATTTTATTCTAAATATCACCATGACAAACTGAATAAGTATACTTTCAGTAAGAGTCACTGGAAACCTGTAAAACAAATAATATAATAAATTAATTGGTCTTTTGTACGTAATGCATGGTATATACTGCATTTCAGTTTCTTTTAAAATTAATCTTCAAAATGTAATACTATTTTTATAGAAAGTTAAGATTATACTGTAATTTGAATAAAGTCATGATTTTATTTCCACATAGTCTATGGAAGGTTCTATACTCACTATCAGTTTTGGAAACTGGATGGAATTACCTGGATATGCATTTAAAGATTGGGCTGCTACTAAACGAAGGTGAGCTTGGTAACATTTTTAGCAATAGCACTTAGACTTATATACTGCATCACACTGCTTTACGGCCCTCTCTAAGCGGTTTTACAGAGTTGGCATATTAGCACCAAAAATCTGCGACCTCATTTTACTGACCTCAGAAGGATGGAAGGCTGAGTCAACCTTGAGCTGGCATTCTGCAGTCAGCAAAATTAGCCTGCAATACTGCATTCTAACCACTTTGCAACCATAGCTCTTTTTTATACTGATTGTTGTAGAAAGAAAACTGATGCCTGGAGGATGTAGAGATCATACTGTAGGTTTCCAGCTCAATGGAAATCATACTTTAGGTTTCCATCTAGGGGAAAATGTTAAGATAGTATAAAATAAATGTGTGTTATGTAAAATAAAACAGAATAATAATACTGCCCCTCTTTTTTTGGCTTTAAGGGATACTACAATCATATTTAGAGTTGAGAGATGTTTCTGTTGTGATTGTATTCTTTAAATATAACAAATATAAATAATTTTCTGATCTGATCTTTCAGAAATATAAAGTGTGACAGAGTTCTGCCAGAGGAAGTTGCAAATTATTACAAGCACTATGTTAAAATCATGGGCTTACAGAAAAACTTCAGAGAAAATACTTATATAACATCTGTATCAAAGTTTTATCGTGATCAGGACTGTGAAAGCGAAAGCCCTTTGCAGATAGAAGAACAAGGTGGGCAGACTACACTGATCAAAAGAAACTGGGAAATTAGAGGTTATCAGAGATCAGCAGATGGCTCTCATATGCCATTCTGCTTGTTTGCTGAGAATGTGGCTCTCGCTACTGGAACTTTTGATGCTCCTGGACGATTGCAAGTTGAAGGAGAAGACTTTCCTTTTGTGCTCCATGCCATATCTGATTTTGGAGCTGCCATAGATAAAGGAATATTGCATGGGAAAACAGATCCAGTTTTAATTATAGGTGGTGGACTCACAGCAGCAGATGCAGTTCTGTATGCTTATAATAACAATATACCTATTATTCATGCATTCCGTAGGAGGGTCACTGACCCAAGTTTAATTTTCAAACAGCTACCAAAAAAACTTTATCCAGAATATCATAAAGTCTACCATATGATGTGTACTCAGTCAGTTACTCTGGATTACAACATGCATCCTGCTTATACCAGTTTCCCTGAACATCAAGTTCTTTCTTTTCAACCTGATATGAAGTGTATCCTACAGAGTTCTTTGGGATTAAAGAAGATCTTAAAATTCTCTTTAGCTGTAGTCTTAATAGGTTCACATCCTAATTTATGCTTCCTGAAGGATCAAGGCCAGAGCATATGCCATAATCCAAATGAACCAGTTACTTGCAAGGGCAACCCTATTGAAATTGATCCATATACATATGAGTGTATAAAGGAACCCAATCTTTTTGCACTTGGTCCATTGGTTGGAGACAATTTTGTACGCTTTTTAAAAGGGGGAGCATTGGGAATTACACGGCATTTAGTTGCAAAACAGAAGAAACATCAATTTATAGTTGAAAGAGGTGCAGATGGAGTGCCCTAAAGCAAATAGACATAGACTTAACCTGAGAAGCTGCAGGCATATGGTAATAACTGATCTGACCATTAATAACCAAGTGATTAGTCTTGGCTTTATTATACATACCAGTTTTTTGTGCTTGCATTGCCTCATAGAGGAAGATGCTACAACATTATTGCAGCCTTGCAAAATGCAAAAAAAATGGCAGTTTTTCTGGAATTGCTTCCAATTAAGGCAACTGTAATGGATAACAATGCATGCCAATTTGCTTTGGTTTCAAAGCTTAGAAATATATATATATATATATATAAAGTTTTTCCTCATAAGCTAATTGTTTTGCTATACAAAACTAGATGAGTATTCAAGAATAGAATTTTTTACTTAACACAGATTAAGGCAAATTTTCAGCCAGTTATTTGCAGTAAAGATTTTATAAAGTCAACCTGAGAATGTTGCATATTCTGAATCTCAATTAGCTACAAATTTGAGATGTGCCTAATCTCGTACATCTAAATCAGATCTAGTGCTTGAGTCTGATGAAGGCACTAATCATTAATCTAAAACATGCAGTATAATCCAGCTAAATCTGACATTTCACACAGAAGTCATGCTCTAGGAAAGCATGTGGAGATGGGAGAATTTGCCCATATTTTATTTAGTTTCCATTACAATATATCCACAATATATCTGAGGCAAAATAGCCTGTTAATTATGAAAGTTATTGCTATAGAAACCACAAGGATAACTAGTGGTTCTCTTTGTATTTAATTTTTATAAACTATGAATGTTTATTTTTTAGCATCCTAAACTTTGATTATGTCCATTGGCAGCAATCCCTATTGACATCAAAATGCATGTGTAGATTAGTTTCCTAATCTCCAATTTTATCAATTATGCCCCTGCCCATTTAAACCTGGGGTGTTTACTATTAGGTAAAATGAGAAGGAAAAATGAAATGTAATTTATGTTAATATATTAAAAATATGGAACTGGAATTGCTAACCAATTATACTATTAATATAAAAGTTGGCTAGAATAAAAGGCATTTACTTTTAATTCACCTTACCCTTATGTATATTATGGAGTATGTAACATAATAATTCTGGATTAAATTGCGTATGGGATTAAAGGAATGTCCAACATTTAAAGACTGCCTATTTTTAATTGTAGGGATAAACTTCAGGGTTGCCAATAATTTTAAATAAAAGCATGGCGTTCAAAAGATTTGTCTTTTCCCTCTTTTACATAAACTTTTTTTAAACTCGCCCTCTGGCTTCTACACTTTGTCTCTATGAATTTGAATCAGAACTATTGTAAACTCAAGTTAGTAGCCTCAGTGTTAGAGACACATAAGTTAAATTCATTGTAAAACAGCCAATAAAGAGACTGTCAATATTCATTAAATTCAGTATTTTTAAAGAGTCCCTTCAAATCAGCAGTTGGCTTTTTAAGTCTGTATCATTTACATAGCAAATCAGGATAACAAACTAAACTTTTAGAAACTTTTTCTAAAAGAAATCAAGTTCCTGCAAAGATTTAATGAATACTACTAGTCCAGATTTGACTGTATAAATCCCTACATACTTGCAGTTTTCTAATTATTATCTTTCTTAAACATTTTAGTGCAGAACCTTTCAGTATAGCAGAAAATCAGTTTGATTGGAAGCAACAAATGAATTTTAATGTGGTTGGGTTGCTTTATTGGAATAATATTTACAAACCATTTTTCATATTTTCATTATGAGGGACCTCCCTAAATTAACGGTTTATTGGATTATTATGAAATTATAAACCAGAATAGCACTTAACTCATAGAAGTGCTTGCATGCAAAAATTCTTTTTTCAATGTTTTCATTCAATTTGGCATATAAGGGAAATACCCTTTTTATACAAATACCCCCATGCCCAAGATGGGGGGAAATCAGATTTTTTGTGTGTGTGTGTGTGTGTTAATCCTTGCAGGTACCTAAGACACTTCAGTGATACAATCCAGAAATCCATATTCTATGATTCTCCTCAAGTAAAATCAGAAAAAGAACCACAGTATTTTTATGTTTTCCCATAGGGTTTAGTACTATTGGAAGCCATATTGTTAACTAGCAGCTTAGAGCCAAAGTATCAAAATCATATACTACATTACATTAGGTGTTATATTTATAATATGCTTAGGGATCCCATGGAAACAGAAGCTGTATTGTGTGTGAGATTTTGAAGCATTCTCCAATAGTCTTATTTATATTTAGGTGTAATTGTTTTTTATTGGTTTAATTTTTTTAATGATTATTTAAGATTTGATTCAATTGTTTTGTTTTGTTGTACACTGCCCAATCACAGTCATGAGAGGCAGTTATATAAATCTGAAAGATAAATAAACCCTCTTCTACAATCATACATACTAGCAAATCAAAGAAAGCAATCCTGTTTATTTGGTAAATGACCAGCCAAATTTTTAAAAAATGGAACTTAAAAGAAAAAATAAATATAAAATGCTAGGATAACAAAGATAAAACAGATAAATATATAACATACTGTACGTTACTAAAATAGCATGTTGCTTGCCTGTGCAAGTGTAAATCTAAGATATTAGTATCTATGAAGTAAATATAAATATATAAAACATAAAACCAAATAGCTAGATGTATTAAACTGGAATTCAGTTACTGAACAAGTAATAAAAGGTTTTGAATCTTCTAAAAGATAGTTCACATAGAAATCATCTGACCTTCCTGGAAATTTATGTACCAGGAACAGAATATAAGCAGATCTGATTTCCCTGTAGAATTTATAATGTAATAATGCATGCGAAATTATTTTGATCCCTTGTCACCCCAGGATCACGGATAAGTTTGCTCGGTTAATGGATTTGGGGAATATCTGCCTTGGTAAGATGTCTTTGATGATAGCTTTGAAAATGCAATCCTTTTGGAAATAGCTTACTGGTTCCCAAATGCCCTTATTAATCCAACCCAATATCTGCAATGTTGGAGCATTGTCTGAAACTTCACATCCCTTATTCTTTGAGCGAGCAGTTGTTTGGGTTGGTCATATCCTAAAGAAATTAGGAATTGTATAGAAAGCCCTATAAATGCCAACGTCTACTCTTCAGGCTCTTTCAGGAAGATGAAAAAATCTCTATTAAAATTAGAGAAGTCAGTCCAATTAAAAAGAAATGGACTTTCAGACAATGGCTTATCATACTCCTCCAAGCCCTCCTTATCTGGATTGCATTTTGGTGCTCCACTATCTTGCACACTCCTCCATCTTCGCGGGCTTACTATATTTTAAACATGCTTTTGACTCCTTGAAGACATTTCACTTCTCATCCAAGAAGCTTCTTTAGGACAATCATGACCTGAATGAGAATCTCCATAGAAATGCCTTTGAGTCAATTTCTAGGAATGACCTTTGGGGAAAAATTAGAAACCACAACTATTGATAGGTGTCTCCTCTTTCTGATACAGAAATTGTATTCCATCACCACCTTAAGAACAAGGTGCAATCTCCAAGGGTCCATCTCTGACACGTGTTCTGAAAGAAGTGTGGCAGGATGTATTCTTTGCCCCTCTTTTCAATTAGCCACCTCAGCTCAGTGGTGGACTTTCTTCATAAGCCAGGTTTCCATGCACATAACCTGGTATAAAAATCCCTATACTAATTTATATTGATGATAAACTCTCATAGTGATGAAAAGAGCAATAACAGCAATATTTTGTTTGGTACTGCAGTCAAAATTGCCTGGTTCTGAAATTTTGAAAAATCTAAAATTCTGGTCTTTGCTAGGAAAGCCGTCCAACTATTCTGGAGACCAGAGCAAATTACTTCATTTGAATATCTTAGGGCTAAAGGCACCTGGAACCTGCATGAGAATCACATAGTCCAGAGGTGCTATTAAGCCCTTCTCTTGCAGAAGTGGAGGACAATTAAAGCCTGCAACATTAAAACTTTTTTTTGAGGCTAAACAGCAATTTATGCAAAGAAGGATGCACTGAGATCAATCGTTACTGCTCCCAATGGAACAACAAACACCTTGTAAAGGCTCAAGATGGGAATACCTGCAATCCAGGTAAAGGCCTGGAAGAGGAAGAGAATAAATTACTAGCACATTACATTTGCAAGAATCTGCAAAATGCCCCACAATATTGTATGAATGCCACGTGAAGTTGTACATAATTGAAGAAAAAATGCATATAGCAGCTTACCTGATAATGTTTGTAGCTGAAAAGCCACCCATGGCTTCCTTGGTTAGTCAAGCTGAATCTGATGTGAATATAGAAATATATTTTGCCTGCTTAGCAGAAACCCAAAAACAAAGTTGTGGTTTTAGGTTGTTGGAGGCCTCTCACGTTTATACTCTCTTCTGGGCTAATCAAAGTACAAACACAATAGTCTTGTCAGGCAGAGTTTGGATAGCTAAGCTTACCATGATGTATGAACCATCATTTGTGTGTAATGTTGCTATTACATTGTGGCTGACATGCCCAATGTGCATTTATGTTCAGGCAGAATAGGACTTTATGAAGTTATAAAGAGAATGAACTTTTTATGGGGGAGGGAGAACATCTACGGTAATTAGTATGGTCAATTGTTTTGCAACACACTAAACAGTTAACTCATATGAGCTTCATTAACTTTCTATAATGGAAGTTTTCAGTCTTGAATATGAACTAAACTGTTTCCCATTTTAAGCTATTTCCCTATAAAATTACATAACTGAAGTTCACTAAGCTATTAATGATTTTTCAATATGAATTTAAAAAAATTAAAGAAATATTGAAACTAGACTTGTTTTTTACTTACTGAAACCTGGACCAAGAATTTATACAGTGATTTGACATAAATAAAAATTAATTTGATTTTTCTTTTTAAAAAAGTCATTAATTGCTAGAGTATTTTTGGAAAGATATGGCATTGCAAAGTAATGTTCTTTATTCTAATTGCTGTTAATTCCTTAGAGGCAAGCCTGATACATTAATTTAAATTGCAATAATAAAAGTTACATGTGTGTGTAGAGACTCAAGTATACCTGAAGGAGAAAATGACATTATTAAACTGCATAGACCTGAGAACAGTGGAAAGAAAGATTAGCTCCTTTCCTCTAGCAGCAATTATGTTACCCATATATTTCTTTCAACATAATTTCTTAAAATAATCTAATTAAGACATGATGTAAATGGTATTTTTGAACACTACAGTGTCCAGTTTACTTGAGTTATAACAAAGTGGAATGAATAACTCGACTCTTTTATTGGTAGGTACAATTCCTCTGATGAAGCTAAAGTTTTAGAGTTTGATACTATACTACAAGTATCTGGAAAGCCAAGAAACATCATTAAATCTAACTTACATTTTGCCCAAGTCTTGCATATATTTTGGAATAAGAATGATATTCAAGGTTTCTAGAGTTTTAGAAAGTAAGAAAGTAAGTTTAGATGTTCTGGTTCACTGGAGTTATGTAGTCTTGTGAAAACATGCTTTTCTTCCTGTTGGGCTCAGAATTGTCAAGAACCTAAATGATATCTGCAGAATGGAAGCTCACCTTTCCTTCTCCTCCCAAAAAGTTTAAATAAAAAGAGTCTGTATATGGGTGCCCTGATGAGAAACAGGCTCAGTGTCTTGGAGGAATATATATTGATTCCTGGAGATTGATTTAAGAATCTACCAACTTATACAGAAAAATGAACATTTTCATCTAGAGCAGGGGTGTCAAATTGCCGGCCCGCAGGCCGGATGCATCATAGTAAAACTGCGCCCTCCCCATTGCTGGCAATGGAAAAAAGTCGCGAGATGTCGCAACACGTCACGTGACATTGTGAGTTTGACACCCCTGATCTAGAGGAAACACTTGGTCACAACTGTTTAGAAGCATCTTTAGATGCTACACAGCATTTTTCAATAGGTCTAAGAGGGAGAAATCTCCAGGAATATTCCTAATCTCCCTGCTGAGGAAAGAACTATGATGTTTTGTTTACTCAACATTTCAATCTTTGCTCAAAGCATTTGGCACAAAAGTCCTGTGGATATGGTCCCATTTCAATATAAATTTAAAGACCGAAGCCACGTTGATCATTGAGTTCAGCCATGTATCAGCTTTGATAGTATTCTTTCTTCAAAACTTTTAAGTATGTTCTATTTGAAACTGGCCATGGTTACTTTAAATTTAAGCAAGGAAACAGCTTTCCTGTTTGGGAAGGCAATGAAGGAGAACAGGCACTCTCTCCAGAAACCTTCTCGGAGCACACCCAATTCAATCTTGCCTCTGATCTATGCTGCCCTTTCTGCCTGGACAAGGAAAAAAGCAATCCTAACATGTAAGCAGCCTAAAGTTATTTCAATAATTAAGATGAGAGAGTGAAAGCATAAGCCAGTGAGCACTGTAGAAGATATAAAAATATTTTGAAAGGATACACACGCTAGCAGTTTTATGGATTTGACTTACCTGTTAATTTTTGCTAAAAGGAGAATATAACAATCTCACAACACATTAAGACAATTTTGTTTGTTGCATATTGTGCTGCATGAAACCAGCCAAGAAATCATAGCTCCATGTGTTGTATGAATAATTCCAATAAAATCAACAGAAAATATTTTAAATACTTTGCTTTTCACTAGAAAATGAAACCTTTCCATTTTCTTGTTTGCTTATAACTTTGATCTGAGAAATTTTACATTATTAATCACACATTTCAACTGTTGTGATGTATGTGCAAAAAACCTGGAAGTTATTTATATACAGTACAATGAAGTAATAGTATTCTCAACTGGTAGTTGATGGGTATAAAGATCCTCTCCACTTCAAAAGCACTTGGGTTCCTAAAGAATTATCATTAAAATTTCACCAGTATTTACTCATGATAAATTATAATTGATCAGAATAAATTAAAAATAAAAATAGCTGTAAAAAAGTTCATGTTTGAAAGGAAAATCATTAGAAAAGAATACTTTATATTCAGCAATCTATGGCATCTTTTGTAGCAAAAGAGGGCTATTAACTCTGCTAGAAAACTGATTCAACGGACCAAGCCTCTCTCAGAAGATTCAACCTATCTGTATCTCCGCAAGTTATAGCTAGCAGAAAGTCCAAATAGGGTCAACTCCATCACTTCCTTAATAAAACAGCAATTTGGGACTTGCCTTCTCTTTGAGTGATTTCCAAACTGTCCATTTGCAATACAGCTGGTTCAGCCCTTACTTTTTTGCATTGGGGTTTCTTTTAATTGATGTTTATTATCAGACTCAAGCATAGGGTATCAGGATAAAATAACACTTTCTCACAGCTATTTTAAAGGAATAATGAAGAACTTGGGGGAAAATGGGCAAAATGTGATTCTCAACAAATAAAACATAATATGTATCCAGCAGTTTCAAAAGTCTATAGTTTCTATACATAGCCCTTTAGATATTCATATTCTCAACACGTTAAATAATGTTGAGTTCCTGTACAGATTGGACAAATGTAATGGATAAATGAGAACGATGATCTCAAATGATTGGGGGTGCGAAAGAGAAAAATGTTTGGAAAATCAATTGAGATATAACTACCAGTTTGGGGAAAGTCTTCATATCCACACAGGAAATTGATTAATATTTTGTACTGCTAGCTCATTAGTACACTTCTTCAGGCTGATGCTATTTTAAAATAACATATAATCATTAGATGTTTGGTTCTACCCTTATCATGTTGCTAAATTTTCTGCAAATCAAACAATTGTTGCACTGAAAGCAATGGAGGTTTTCTCAATTTTTGCTTTAGCAATTTACTCAATACCAGTATTTAGAAGATAATATATGTTAAGGTAAAGTCATCAACATTTGAAAATGATTTCTTTTTCTTCTTCAGGTTAGAAAACAATATAAACAGGACACTTTTGATAAAAGGTACATTTCCTCACAGAAATCATTTATTGGTTAGATTACACAAATGGCTGCTTGGTGGTATGATTCTCCAGTTGAAATAACTCAGCTAAACCAACAGAATATTCATTTATCCAGCATAATATGTAGTGCAAATGTATATTGGAGTGATTCAAATTGACAGTAAAGACTCCTAAATTTAAAATATGATATGAAAAACTTTTTATAGCATATTTGAGCAGGCAGAAACACCACAAAAATCCATTGTGAAAAGAATTTAGCACATCCTACTTCAAATTCCCTGATCAGGATCTTTTTCTTAGAACTAGTTAAGGGAGTTAAATATTACAAGGACTAGTCTGTAATATCTGACTTACAGATCAATAAAGTGTGACTTATTAAAAGGGCCATCTTTTATAAATAGAAATAGTTGCAATGCATAAATTAAACAAACACTTTAAAATTACCTTTTAAAATGTGGTGTCTCCATTTCTTTTTATAAAAACAAAAGCTTTCATAGAAAGTTCTTAAAATGTGGCTTGAAATGGAATTCTAAAGGCATAAAACTTATTAGGCTCAGTATCAATGGGCAAACTCCTTGGTCAGCAAAAACCAGAACCAAAACTTTCTTGTTGGAATGCTATTAAAAGCTTGGCATTTTCAAGACTGGTTCCAAGATCGTTTTGATGAAATCTCTAATATCAGCCCAAATCTTATTCCCACAATTCTATAGATACATGGCAATATGTTCAGAATCATCTGCCTCTTCCTGTGCCTCTTTCACTACACCTTCTAGCTACTCCAAGAACAGCAATGTGTCAGGAGGAAAAGGCCTTTCCCTCATCCACTAGTTTTCACCGCAAGCTACAAATGTGTATTTAATGGAAAAACGGAAAGCAAGGTTCTCGGTGCCATTCAATGGGTTTTCTAAGCATTCCCCTCAATTCCTTGGACCCGACATGCAGCACAAACGTAGGTGGAGAATTTCACTAAATAGTAACAAGGCTGGAGGAGGCTTGAAAGATTATGCAAATGCAGGAAGCTTAAATTCCTCTCCCGCTCAGATTGAGAGGTTTAATATTTTCCTTTGGGTTAATATTTCAAAACCTACAAGAAAATTGGCTAGTTTTGGATCCATCACTAATTGGGACTAGTGTCAAGTTCTGTTTCTTATAAACAGAAACATTCTTTTTAAAACCTTCATTTTCAGCAGATGTGGTTGATTATAAAGTAACTCTGATACTGCAGTTTATTACTAGCAAGCAATTAGAGGTACAATTATCTTCTTTTTATTCGCGGATCATACCTGTAAATTAAGAAAAAATATGTTTAATAAATAGAACCTTATATTGACTAAAAATCAGACAATTATGAAGCAATAAAGTAACAAGAAATCCTACAAAAATATTAAATGAGATAAAGTGAGGTAGCAATTAGGAAATCTGACTACAGTAGAACCAGTTACTTATTAAAATTCCTACATAAGCCTGGGTGATTTCAGTCCTGCCATAAAAGTATGGTCTAACTAATCTTACAAAGTTGTCGCCAGGTTACTATAGGAAGCCAGGAGAAAACCCTGAGATCATTAAAAAGAAGTCTGAATACAATGGTGGTAAACAAGCGTTGGAATTTTATCAATATTTCTCCTGAAATATTTGTTTGACCAACATGATGAAACTATGCAGGCTGCTCAGGTTGGGTGTTGTCGGGTGCAAAAAACCAGAACGACCAGGTCCACATATGAAATTCAATTAAACTGATTTATTGCTATAGTCTATGCACAAGAATTTTCTCAACTAATGGTTGAGACTAACCTGTTCTAACTACTTAGAGTTAGATAAGGGTCAACAGCACTCAAGGAGGGTTGGACTTAATGCACTTGTGGCTATGTAGGGACTCTAGGCTGATTCCTAGATCCAGGTTGTGCCATTCCTTCTCCTACAGGTGCATTAATACTGAACTATTCTGATGCCAATGAAAACGCATAACATTAAACCACAGCCTTCCTCTCCACTGAATCTAACGTGTGAGATTCCAATTTTCATATATTATATCCTTCATAATTTCAACATAATACTTAACATAATTTAACATTATCTTTCCAAAGTACAGGTCTCCACCCATTGTCCAGGAAGATGTACAATTACAAATAGAACAAAAAACTATTTATAGTGACTGCTTTAATACTCGGGAATAGTGTAGAATCCTATTTAGCTAGCCAGTCAACTGACATACAGGAAATTATCTTTACCACATGCATCCCCTCGTCTGATATTTGAATAGTGATATAAGTGTAAAGCCCCAATTCACTTAATGGAGAACAAAACGGGTAACAAAAATTAAGGAATAATCAGTAGGGAAAAAAACCCAAGAGTTTCCTTCTAAAAACATACATGACCAAAAACCTTTGGTTTGAAGAAACAGCTACACATGTCGTGTATTTATTTACATATTATTCATAATATTAATATTATTAATATTAATATTATTATTATTAATAATAATAATAATAATAATAAAGTTGGAAGGGACTTTTGAGGTCATCTAGTCCAACCCCCTGCTCAGGCAAGAAACCCTATACCATTTCACACAAATGGCTGTCCAATCTCTTCTTAAAAATTTCCAGTGTTGGAGCATTCACAGCTTCTGGAGGCAGGTTGTTCCACTGGTTAATTGTTCTAACTGTCAGGAAGTTTCTCCTTAATTCTAGATTGCTTCTCTCCTTTATTAGTTTCCATCCTTTGCTTCTTGTCCTGCCTTCAGGCGCTTTGGAGAATAGCTTGACTCCCTCTTCTTTGTGGCAACCTCTGAGATATTGGAACACTGCTATCATGTCAACCCTCGTCCTTCTCTTCATGAAATTAGACATACCCAATTCCAGCAACCATTCCTTATATGTTTTAGTCTCCAGTCCCCTAATCTTCTTTTTTGCTCTTTTCTGAACTCTTTCTAGAGTGTCAACATCTTTTTTACATTGTGGTGACCAAAACTGGATGCAGTATTTCAAGTGTGGCCTTACCAAGGCATTGTAAAGTGGTATTAACACTTCACGTGATCTTGATTCTATCCCTCTATTAATGCAGCCCAGCACTGTGTTGGCTTTTTTGGCAGCTGCAGCACACTGCTGACTCATATTTAAATGATTGTCCACTAGGACTCTGAGATCCCTCTCACAGTTACTATTATTGAGCAAGGTACCTCCTAAACTATAACTGTGCATTTGATTTTTCTTGCCTAAATGTAGAACCTTACTTTTTTCACCATTGAATTTCATTTTGTTAGATAGCGTTAGATAATGTTCAAGTCTGTCCAGATCTTCCTGTATCTTAAGCCTGTCTTCTGAACTGTTGGCTATTCCTGCCAGCTTGGTGTCATCTGCAAATGTGATGAGTTCCCCATCTATTTCCTCATCCAAATCATTGATCTGGGCCCAGAACAGAGCCCTGGGCACTCCACTCCTCACTTCCCTCCATGTAGATCAGCGGTTCTCAACCTGTGGGTCGCGACCCCATTTGGGGTCGCACGACCATTTCACGGGGGTCGCCAAACCACTCCGTCCGCCATTTTTTTTTTGCCCTTTTCCTTAGCTGTGCTACTCCCTGTGCTTGGCGGCAGCCTGCATGCACGAACTTTACCAAATGTGCCCTGCAGGAGGCGTGTGAAGAGCGCAGGC